TGCCACAGACCTACAAGTGTAAGCCTGTGCTTCATGAGGAACGTGCTGTACTGACCGGCTGGTAGGAGCAGACACCCTCTACTGAAGAATCACAAGCAACTGACTGATGTGTCAGGGTTAAGGATTCATGGGCAGCACAGGTTATAAAAAGGAAACGGGAGCCGGGCGGTGGTGGCGCACGCCTTTAATCCCAGCACTCAGGAGGCGGAGGCAGGCGGATCTCTGTGAGTTCGAGGCCAACCTGGTCTACAAGAGCTAGTTCCAGGACAGGAACCAAAAGCTATGGAGAAACCCTGTCTCGAGAAATGAAAAAAAAAATAAAAAGGAAACGGGAGAGGTAGGGAAAGCATTGAAAGCATTTTTGGGTCTTACAAGCCTTTGAAGACCTTGTTTTCAAAATAAATAAATCGAGATCCAGTCTTGAATTACTCAGCTTCTCACACAAGCTACATATATTTTGTAGTTTGTTTTAAGACAGAAAATCACTACAAATAGAAAGTGGGTGGGATTATGAGAATGATCCCTCGCACCCCCACCCCGGTTTGCATTTATCATCTTCATTTAGGGCTGTGCTTACCGCTCACCTCTGATATGCAGGTTCTCCATGCAGTTTTGGTGATGAGCCATTGCGATCCTTTTCAGCATGAGAAAATGAAATGGGTTCCAGAATATGCTGCTATTCTCAAAACTTGGCGAATAAGCACACTGAGCAACAGTTCGTAAGTGTGGGCATATTTAAAGCCAAAGTTCTCTGGCATGAATAGATCAGCAAAACACAGCCCCAGAACAGAGTTGGAGCTGCAAATATGGCGGCTGTGGCCAGGACGTCAAATTCAAGAACCGTCTTCAGACAGGGACCGACCCCGACCAATGTATTTGCAGTGGAATAAGTATTCTGCAAGCAGGGTGTTTGTAAGGTGATTGGTGGATTTTTTTTTTTTTTCGAGACAGGGTTTCTCTGTGGCTTTGGAGCCTGCCCTGGAACTAGCTCTGTAGACCAGGCTGGTCTCGAACTCACAGAGATCCACCTGCTTCTGCCTCCCGAGTGCTGGGATTAAAAGCGTGCGCCACCACCGCCCGGCATGAGTTGTTTTTAAAATCCACTTCCTAACAGCTTCGGTGGCTCGCATAGCCTCCTGAACTTGTTTTCTCATTTGTAAAGCAGGCAGTTGCCGCCTGTACAGGTGGCGGGACGCTAATGCGATGAATTATGCATGAAGCCGGGCCCATAAACTAGTCGTATGTGACTTTTCAGCCGTCACACTACGTATCATCTACTCATTTCAGTTCTCAACAGTTTATCTATTTCAGTGAGAGAAGCCAAGAAGAGCAAGCGCGGTTCTAGAACCTCCTATGCCCTCATATATGTCAAGTGTTTCCTACAGCACTGTCCCCTGGAGTAGTTTCTATCCCCACCCCTGGAACATTCCTGGTTCCCCCCCAGCAGTCTCACCACCCACCGAATGGTTCAAACACTTCCCTGGTCTACTCTGAGCAAGTGCAAATCCTTCTGTCTGTGCAATTATTTTTACGTTCCTCGCATATTTAAGTAGAACAGACACCTACTGTGAGATTGAGGAGGCACGGTGCCCCGGTTGGTTCTCCTGCGTGCCGTGTGGGCCAGGAGGCTTGCTTGGTTAGCGTGCCTGGCTCGTGAGCCAGGAGTGATGGCCTCAATCCACACGTGAGCCAATCCACGTAAGGATCTGAGAACCACGTCATGCAGGGAGCCTGACTGTGGAACAGGATCCTCTATCTCAGTAACGCTTCTGCTTCTCTGTCGCTTAACATGCCAAGTTGAACACAGTTGGTTCATTCAAACATCCGGCCCTCAAACACACTGCATGGGCAAGGCCTATACCAGGTACCAGGCTACATCCAGTAGGTTCAGTGCCCTGCCTTCCTGGGACCTATGGTCTCATTTGAGAGGGAGACTCGGGTAAGCAAACACACATATGTGTGCTTGTAAATTCTTCAAAGAACCACAGAAGACACAGCAGTAGCTGCAGGGGGCTACTTTAGAAGTGGCTACCAGAGGCCTCTCCAAAAGGACAAGTGCCCATGCTAAGACCTGAGTAAAAGAATCCCAGCCATGTCGACGAGCCAAAGAAGACAGAATGACATCAGTGTGTACAGTCACATACCAAGAACCCCTTCCTGATGAACGCTGAGAAGAGAACATGACCGCAGCATCTGCTTAGTGCGTTTGCTTTGTGACTTGGCCATAGCACCCAACTCTCCGCAGGTCCTCTGGAGTGTTCAGAGGCTCACCTAGCAGAAAGAGGCAGCTTGGATTATTGTTTCTCCTCCCCTAGCGGCAGACTCCAGCTTTGGAAGCCAAACCATTCCTTGCTCGTGTCTCAAATTCAGTTCTTATGCACTGGGAACATTGGGCCATGGTTGGGTGCCTTTGGCAGCCAAAGGTCCAAGAGCCTCCAGTTCGTCATCTTTGGTACTTCTCTAGAAGTCTTTAACCAGGTTCTGAATGTATTTCCATATATTATATATATATATATATTTCCTTGTTTCTGTAGAATGCTTTATAATCTCTAGAAGTCTTTAACCAGGTTCTGAATGTATTTCCATATATATTCTATATATATATATTTCCTTGTTTCTGTAGAATGCTTTATAGTTTTTATAGAATTTTTCATAGTTTCATATTTTTGGCTCCTCATAATAATCAAACAAGGACAGCAGGTTTATAGTATCAATGAAGCAAAGCTAACCAAAATTCTTTGGTCTCTCTGTGAAGTACCCACCCTTGGATTTTCTGAATATGGAATATTTTTGTTTTTTTGAGGAAAAGTGATATAATGGGACTTTAAAACGCACATTTTGTGGCAGAAGGGGAGTTGCCTTCATGTCCAGGTGTAGGTTTTTTAGTAGGGAGCGGTGCTCAGACCAAACGCAGCCCCTTGTGCATATGTAGGCAGCCATGTTATCCCTGGGTCCCACACGACCACCCCTGAATGCGTGTCTCAAATCTGGACTCCACTGCCGAGGTCCTAGGTCACCTTGAGCCTTGGTCTTTCTCCCTAGAAACAGAGCCGTAACAAGGAAGGCAGCAAGCCCTGCCCCCAGGGTGTGCCGTGTGCTACTAGTCTATGCTGGTGCTCTCTTCAGTGGGCTCCCCCTCCTCCTCCCTGCAACCCTCTTCTTCCTTCTCTCCCCTGGGTAGTAGTATTTGACAAAACCAGCCCCTCAAGCCCAGTTTCCCAGAGTCCCCCTCTCCCTCCTACCCTCGTCCATCCCATACTCACCAGCCCTGCTATTTCTGATGCCTAGATAGTTCTCCAAGCCAGCGGCTGTCTCTTCCCATCACCGCCATTCATTTAGCCATTCAGCAGCTGTTTGTGGAGCCCCTACTACACCCTGCCGCTCCGCTGGACACTGACATACAGTAGTGAACAAAGCTTCTTCCTAACCCTCGTCCTAATGAGTTCTCATTTCCTGGCCTACATAGTCACCCCCACCCCCAATCCATTCTCAATATTAGCATCAGGGTTATGGTCACAAGCCAGCTCTGGCCCTCTTCCTTTTGGACCTTCATTTCCCTTCAGCTTCAACCTAACGACCACTGCTTGTGTTCACTAAGTAGTTACTCTCTGACCAACAGCCTTCCGTACCCTTCTGACATGTTGTAGAATTTACAGTTGAAGACCGCGGTCCTGGTAGAAGACCCTTCGTCTGACTTGGCCCACCCTTGTAGCCCCCCCACATCCTACCACAGGCACAGATAAAACCCCTCTCGCCAATATTTGTTAGCAGATATACTTTTGAGGCAGTAATACACTTATTCACTTCTGTTCCTCTGATCTCACACACAATCTCTCTCTTCCTGAAAGCTCATTCCCTTACTTCTCCACCTGGAAAGGCTCCTGGCCCATCCCTGAAGTCTGTCTCCTCCTCCAAGAGGCCATCCGCAGACTCCCACTCCACCGAAGCCTCTCCCTACTTGCTGTGAACCCTCTCCCTTCAAACGTCTGTCTCTGTCCCCCGCCCCCCCCCCATCCTGCCTAAGACCGGAAGCTCCTTGCGGCAATGATTTTACCTCATTTATTTCCGCATGCCCCTCAGCAACTTAATGCCACCTGACGTACTCATCTTCAGGGTGGGGGCGGGGTTGTTAAGTGGGGGAGGGAACAAGTGTAAACACTATTATTTGTTCTCCGCCAAGGCACCACACTCAGAATAGAATTTACCTGAGAAAACGTTGACATGCAGAGAGGAAAGAGTTCTGTAGAGAGTACAGTGACTAACTTTGACACACCGAGCTGTGGTTCTTTAAATTGGCTTCTTCTTTAGGGGTTCTCTGTGTTAAGCCTCGAAGGAGATAGAACTTTGTTCTTTGTGAAAGTGGGTCTTGGCTGGCCTTTGGCATTTGAAGGTGGGTAAGGGCAGTAGCGAGAACCACCATCCTTTAGAGGCTGTCTCTCTCGTCTGCATCACTTGTATTACGTAGAAAATGCTCGTAAGTAAAGCAGAAGTTCTGTCTAAACCGTAGCTCAGGATCCAGTGAGCCTCCTGGATTCGGAGTCTCTGCTAAAGGAAGGGCAGACACGTCGAATTTCTGCAACTTGTAACCCAAATTATCCAATGTTCCACAGCATCTGGCTGTGGGAAACGAGACGCTAGACCAAGAAGTAGAGAAATAAGAAGCCACCCCACTTCCCGAAGCACAGGTCTGCGGTGACTACGGGACAGACAATACTTGACACAGATTGTGAACGTTACCTTTTTTTTCCTTAACGAGGGTGGGGCTCAAAGGATGAACCTGCCATGGGACATCTGTTTCTCTCATTCAGAGCTCACTAAAAATGTCTGCATGACAATTTAATCATCAAATAAACAGAGCCAATCAGACAAAACCTATCTCTTGTGTTGCCTTGTCGATCAGTTCAGCTCCTCCAGCTTCCTAATAAAGTAACCAGAGACATACTTGCATATAGTAAGATAGTAGCTATTGGTTCTGGTTCTAGAAGTTAGTCTCTATTTTATTATTTATTTATTATATTTATTAAGCCGTTTCATACAGAAAGAAAAAAGATGGATAGTAAAAGTAAAGGAACTTTCTTCCTGTAAAAACCCTATAAATGAGTATCACGTTGCAGTCTGAGGTCCAGATAGTCTTTTTACAGCTTCTGCATGGCTAGAGATTTTGCAATAGGTATGTAATGTACCTAAAAAAAAAAAAAAAAAAATAGGAGAAAAGAGTGTTGGAGAAATTGCATTGTATTTAATTTCTAACTAGATGAAGAATTTTTAAAATCTCAGATTTATGATTCAAATGATTCAGTTTTTGGTTTGTTCACTCTTTTTTTTTTTTTTGAAACAGGAACCAAGCCATTATTACATAAGCCTCATGTGGCTTCATCAAGCCAGTCTGTGTTAATAATGTTTGTGTCTGTGCAGTTATGTTTGGAAGGGTAGCACCTAGTTTTTTCCTCCGTGGCCTTCTTAATTAGCGTCTCTCAAAGGCAACATCTCCCCACAGACGCTCCAGCTAAGGCTCCCACAAAGATTTCTATAGCTTCCTGTGGTTTTCCCACAAGAAGCCTTCAACACATTCTGTCATGTTCAGGAGATAGAAATATCATTTTTAATGAACCCCGATCAGAGAGAAGGCTAAATATAAGTAAACACGAAGAACTGCTAGGGAGAGGAGGCCACTTTCGTTTCAAGGAATTAAATGATGAGAGGCTTTTATCCCCAAGCAAAGTTAGTAAATTCTTTAAAGGGCTGAGCTTCCAAGGCTAGGGCAACGGCCCAGCGGTTGGGAGCACTCGCTGCTCTTCCAGGGGAACAGAGATCAGTCCCCAGCATCTGTGGTCAGATGCCACCGAGCTGCCCAGAACTCAAGTGCCAAGGGATCTGACACACCCGTTCTGTTCTCAGAGAACACCTGTGTGCACATACACACACACATAAAGAATTATTTTTCTTTAAAAGAACTTGGGACAAAGATAAGTCTATGGCAAAAGGTGCTTTTCATACGTCATAAGTGATCTTTGGGATTTAAATTCTCAATGAACAGTCACGGGTCGCTCGAGTTTCAGAAGATTTTAACCACGGGTGGGCAAAACCATGGTGTGATCTGTAAGTGTGGTCTAGCACTGTGACCTTCTCATCGATAACCAAACATTTCATTGACGTCACGTGTGAATGGCAGTCGTTAGTGGTGTGCTTCATGCTGCCGTCATTCTCCTGCGATACAAGGGCGGATCACCAGATTTTCTTCATAGGCCACTTTTCTATGTGACTCAGTTTCCCAATTATCTTGAAGTGAAAAGTATTTCCTCACTGTGCAAAAGAGGTACAACTAATGAGCTTAGTGACAGTCAGATGCTGAGCTTTTTTTAAATCAAACACTAATTAATCAAACATGTCATTATTTTCATTGGAAACTTGCAAGTAGTAATCAATTACGTTGGCAAGCAGGAATTATTACTTTGCCGTTTGATGGTTCAGCAGCTACTTCCAAGAAATGGGTGCTTCCTTTAGTAGCGTGGCTGGATACAAGATCAACTCCAAAAAATCAGTTGCCTTCCTATACACTAAGCATAAGGAAACAGAGAGGGAAATCACAGAAGCATCACCTTTCACGATAGCCACACAGAGCATAAAATATCTTGGGGTAACCCTGACCAAGGAAGTGAAAGATCTATTTGACAAGAACTTTAAGTCTTTGAAGAAAGAAATAGAAGAGGACACCAGAAAATGGAAGGATCTCCCTTGCTCTTGGATTGGGAGGATCAACATAGTAAAAATGGCAATTCTACCAAAAGCAATCTATAGATTCAATGCAATCCCCATCAAAATCCCATCAAAATTCTTCACAGATCTGGAGAAGACAATAATCAACTTTATATGGAAAAACAAAAAACCCAGGATAGCCAAAACAATCTTATACAATAAAGGAACGTCTGGAGGCATTACCATCCCTGACTTCAAACTCTATTACAGAGCTACAGTATTGAAAACAGCTTGGTATTGGCATAAAAACAGAGAAGTCGACCAATGGAATCGAATAGAAGACCCTGACTTTAACCCACAAACATATGAACACCTGATTTTCGATAAAGGGGCTAAAAGTATACAATGGAAAAAAGAGAGCATCTTCAACAAATTGTGCTGGCAAAACTGGATGTCAATCTGTAGAAGAATGAAAATAGACCCGTATCTATCACCATGCACAAAACTCAAGTCCAAGTGGGTGAAAGACCTCAATATCAGTCCAAACACACTGAACCTGATTGAAGAGAAAGTGGGAAGTACTCTACAACACGTGGGCACAGGAGACCACTTCCTACGTATAACCCCAGCAGCACAGACAGTAAGGGCCTCGTTGAATAAATGGGACCTCCTGAGACTGAGAAGCTTCTGTAAAGCAAAGGACACTGTTGCTAAGACAGAAAGGCAACCCACTGACTGGGAGAAGATCTTCACCAACCCCACAACTGACAAAGGTCTGATCTCCAAAATATATAAAGAACTCAAGAAACTAGACCGTAAAAGGCTAATCAACCCAATTATAAAATGGGGCACTGAGTTGAACAGAGATCTCTCAACAGAAGAAGTTCAAATGGCCAAAAGACACCTAAGGTCATGCTCAACTTCCTTAGTGATCAGGGAAATGCAAATCAAGACAACTTTAAGATACCATCTTACACCTGTCAGAATGGCGAAAATCAAAAACACCAATGATAGCCTTTGCTGGAGAGGTTGTGAAGAAAGGGGTACACTCATCCATTGCTGGTGGGAATGCAAACTTGTGCAACCACTCTGGAAAGCAGTTTCTCAGGAAATTTGGGATCAACCTACCCATGGACCCAGCAATACCACTCTTGGGAATATACCCAAGAGAGGCCTTATCACACAACAAAAGTATATGCTCTACTATGTTTATAGCAGCATTGTTTGTAATAGCCAGAACCTGGAAACAACCTAGATGCCCTTCAATTGAAGAATGGATGAAGAAAGTATGGAATATATACATATTAGAGTACTACTCAGCAGTAAAAAACAAGGACTTCTTGAAGTTTGCAGGCAAATGGATGGAAATAGAAAACACCATCCTGAGTGAAGTAAGCTAGACCCAAAAAGAGGAACATTTTTCCTCTCACTCATATTTGGTTTCTAGCCATAAATAAAGGACATTGAACATATAATTCGGGTTCTTAGAGAAGCTAAATAAGAAGGAGAACCCAAAGAAAATCATATAGGCTTCCTCCTGAATATTAACCTTCATCAGGCGGTGAAAGGAGACAGAGACAGAGACCCACATTGGAGCACCGGACTGAAATCTCAAGGTCCAAATCAGGAGCAGAAGGAGAGAGAGCACAAGCAAGGAACTCAGGACCACGAGGGGTGCACCCATACACTGAGACAATAGGGATGTTCTATCAGGAACTCACCAAGGCCAGCTGGCCTGGGTCTGAAAAAGCCTGGGTCAAAACCGGTCTCGCTGAACATAGCAGACAAGGAGGACTACTGAGACCTCAAGAACAATGGCAACGGGTTTTTGATTCTACTGGACCGATTGGTTTCGTGGGAGCCTAGGCAGTTTCGTGGATGCTCACCTTACTAGACCTGGATGGAGGTGGGTGGTCCTTGGACTTCCCACAGGGCAGAGAACCCTGATTGCTTTTTGGGCTGACGAGGGAGGGGGACTTGATTGGGGGAGGGGGAGGGAAAGGGGAGGCGGCGGTGGGGAAGAGACAGAAATCTTTAATAAATAAATAAAAAAAAAGAAATGGGTGCTTTTCTTTCACTTGTCCATATTGGAATCATAAGTTTGACCTTACAACCTAATTCAATATTGCATATTGCCTATCATGATTATATATTAAAAAAGGAACCCCATTTGGTCCAGCAGTCTTACTTCTGGGTATTTAAAGGAGTTGAAATCAAGACCTGGAGCAGAGGCCTGCCCTCTCCTGATGACTGTAGTTGTGATCTCAGTAGTCAAGGTGTGGAATCAATCAACATCTGTGTCCACTTGTGAAGAAGATTGTAAGGTGTGTATATACCCAATGGAATACTTTCACCCCGAAAGCAGAAGAGAACCATGCTGTTTACAGCAATGTAGCTGGGTGTAGAGGACATTGCACGTAATAAAGATAAGCCAGGCAGGACAGCCAGTACCATCTGATCTCTTCATCTGCTTGCGTGTGGAATCTGAAACAGCCCAGCTCACAGAGGCAGAGGTCGCCAGGGGCTGGTAAAGAAGGAGAAATGGGAGTGTGATGGTCATGGGGTACAAAGTACCAATGGCACAAAACAGCTCAAATCCAGAGCTGTACTATACAGTATGGTTCCAGTCACTAACAACACCGTATTGTGTGCTTAAGACTTGCTAAGCAGGCGAATCTTATGGGCCATTTATACCATCAGAGGGGAAGATATTAAGGAAGACAGGGGACAGCTTTGGGAAGTGATGAATATGTTTATGTCAATGGTGGTGGCTTTGGTTTTAGGAAGACCTCCTTATGCAAATTAAATATGTGCAGCTATTTATATGCCCATCATCATGCCTTGTTCTATGTGTGTTTCCCAGAACACGACTAATTTGACACAATTACTCAAAAGTTCCTCTATTTTGAGACTCCTTTGTTTTCGTGTGATTTGGTTTGGTTTTAAGCAACCTTCGACTGTGCTCTATGGAAGGACTGCAATGTAAGTGATACTCATTTCTGCCTTCCAGAAGGTTCAGACCTCAAGAAGGGAACCAGTAAACACTCCGCAGTGCCACCTGTGGTTTGTAGGGGTGGGTGGCGAAGGGGATTGGTGGAAGCTTCCTTTTTCACAACGTACTCTTTGAACCTGGTCTTGAAATGCTAAGAGATGTGCAGGGTTTTCCCAGAGCGAGAAGAGAAGGCCCAGCTTAGGAAGAGTCAGGTCCATTGGAGTCACCGAGAACCTAAAGGAACCTGGGATTGGTACCACACACCTTTAATCCCAGGAGCCTGGGGAAGATCTCTGGGAGTTTGAAGCCAGCATGGTCTACATAGCAAGTTCCAGGCCAGCCAGACCTACATATCGAGACCTTGTCTAAAAAAATGAGCATCAAGGACCTGACACATTTGATTGCAGATGAAGTGTTTTAGAGTTCAAAGCAACTTCCAGTTCCCTCCTCCGTCATTCCTTTTCTGCCTGTGTAACTGAGACAGCTGACGGCCGAGGTTCTCACCTTGTTTACCATGGAGGTCATCATGAACACTCATCACAGCAGGCCACCCCTCTCATCAAGATGGGGCCAGCATGGTCAGCAGCCAATGGCTTGCCATCTGTTTGAGGACCCCATTCTCCAGCTTTGTGAATCATGGCTGGCCTAAGCTTAGAAAAAAAAGAGAAGAAAAATAAGAGGGGGCTGCCAGTTCCCCCGCCCGAGAACCGTCCATGACCATCTAAGCTCTGTAAGTTGGAATTTGACGCAGCTAGCGTTAGCCTTTGCAACAGTGACAACCAGCTGCTCCTGAGAATTTATGTATTAAAGCAAGGGCACTCTTCTGGGATACCATGCAGTCCTCACGATCCTCTGCTATGACACTGGAGACAAATGGTCTTCCTAGGACCTGACGCGGATGCAGTTCAGCACTCCAAATATCCAGGAATACGCTGCTCCTAGCCAAGAGAGGAGGATGTCAGAATACTTTCTCAGCAAGGGTGGTAAGGACCCCCAGTGACAGCCAGTAACATTTAAACCCTAATACAAACTAATTCAATAATTGAATTAATTTCATGCATTCCAAGTGCATATCATCATAGTCAGGTTACTTAACACACCGCCTAATTATCTAAAGGTAATTGAGGCTTTTCTCATGTAAATATGCAACCCTGAATCATTAATGCAGCCCCAGAAAATTACCTTCATTTTAAAAAGTTTTAATTACCTGGGTCTCGTTACTGACAGCCGCCGATTCCAGATCATTCTCAAGCGTCCCACACTACCTTTTTTCTGGCCAGAGCCTACCATTCTGGCAGGAAGCTATTTTGGAAGGTGGCAAACTGGGAAAGATGCGACAATCATTTCTGTAGTGTTTTATTTGTGGATAAACCTTGAGAGGACTCAGAACAGACTGTGATGTCCATACAGTAACACAGAAAGTGTCAGTCGCAAGGTAAGCACCCGGTTTACATCCAAATGAGTCTCTCAGGGAGCCAGCAACTCTTGAGCAGAATGGGAGGGGGCAGAGGCAGGCACGGGGCTGATTATTTTTTTAAAGCCATCTCCCTTGAGCCCCAGAGAATGTTGGGAGAGAGTCAACAGCATACTGTGAAGAACAGAAAAAAAGCATGCATTCTGGAAGTCAGAACCATATCGGTGTCCCGAGTTTGTTGACAACACTCTGACAACTCCCTCAGCATCCTGAGCACGGCTGTGTCTGTTCCCTTCCACAAGTGTCACAGAATCAGCAGCCTCATCAGGCTGAAGTAAGGAGGTAAACAAGATGTTTTATAAAAATCATCTATGAATGTGTCCCTTGCTCTTGTGCTGTTCCCCCTAAGACTCAGTTCCTGTGTTCAGCTTCATGGAAGCCAGATGTCTCTTGAGATTGTTGGCAAGGGCCCATCCTCCCTGTTTCCATCCCACACGGTGCCTCTGGCGCACGGACACAGAACAGAACATTTGCCCCTCTTCGATTGCCTCATCTTGGCGCCAGCTTTGCCTTTCTCCCATTGAGAGAATTTTGAAGTTTTGTATCAGCCTCCTATCGTATTAAATATTCTTCACCGTTTCATGTCATTGAAAAATCTGATGTGTTTCTCCTATGCCTACTTTAATGCCATTAATAAAAAACATTGAATGAAGCAGAATCCAGGGCCACGGCCCTGTGGCATTCAATCAGTGGTCCCCCCTACAGGTTGTGACAGAGCCATCAATCAAGCCTCCTGGGTGCCGCTGTACCCCCAGCTGTGAATCCACTTAATTTTTCACTCACAGAGCCCACCCGCACCTAGATAATGGAAGACTCTGTCAAGTGCTTTATCAGAAGCAAAGACAGCATATCTCTGCCCTTCACCTGGTCTGTCAGCTTCATTCTAATAACTCTGCCAGGGGGGAAGAAAAAGGAAATTAACATAGTTCAGCAACACTTACTTTTAATGAGATCATTGAAATTTTGAACGGTGTGTGGCTGGTGATGCAGAGCTGTTGGCAGGGAACAGATTCGTGGCCAGCCACGGAGCTGCTGTGGAGTGGCCGTGGCATTATTTCAATGTACCTGCTAAGTTCTAGGAGGGGGCCCAGTGCTTCCAGTTCAGCAGCTGGGTTTAATCAAAACATTGAGTGAAGTTTGCCGTCCGCCAAGACCCCTTTTTCTCTAGACACGGTGCTAAGTCTCGCTGAATTCTGCTTTTCACCAGGAAATAAGTACTGCTTTTTAACACCTTCATTTTGGATGAGTGTGGGAAATGCTGAAAGAGGTTAATCCATTGACCCAAAATCAGAAGCATGACTCACACCCAAGTCACCATGACTCCAAGACCTGCCCTGAATAACAGTGCCCTCTCTGTGCCACAGGGGTGTTCGTTTCATTTGACTGAAGTGGGAACAAGAACATGTTATGCCTCCCAGTCTGTCAGTGTATGGTAGGAGGATTGAACACTGCGACCAAAGACTCCAGCACAGATCATCTTCAGCATGTCCTTCCCTACTGTGTGGTACCCAGAAGGCTGACTTAGCAATGCTGCTTGTTAGCACGGTGAACCCAGTAGAAGAGGAATTTCTGAGGGTCGTTTGGGTTGGGATCAACGTGACCCCTGACAAAATAGTCTCTGTATTATGAGAGGCAAGATGCCTGAGGTTGTCACCAGCAACCCTAGCAAGGCTGGGTCTCCTCATTGGCTTTCCGGTCGTCTCTCTCCATCCCACTTCCTCTCCCTGCCCTGACACATGCTTTCTGTGTTTAGGTGGATTAAGTAGTGGTCAGTCTTCCACCCTCTCCAAGTGACTCTTCTTGGACTAGAAAGCCACAGTGACTATATTTACTCTACCCTAAGACTGGAGGGTCTCATTATCACCACCGCTACCCTAAAGAGAGAACCACGTTGGCCTCAGAGATAACTGTATCCTGCAAAGATACACACTTAGAAAGAATCAGCATTGTTACCGAAGTGCATTGGCTTGGAAGATTACACCCTCAGGAAGATGCTCATTTACAAGTAATCAGTGCTAATTTATTGTACACATATAACAAGAAATATGCTCACCATCCATTAGCCTCCAGCTAAACAGCCCGGTGTCCAGAACAAAGTTGCCCTCTGGCTCACGGTTCCCTTTATTCCCTTAAGATATACCGAACATGTTATAGCTTGGATTGCTTCCAACTGACAAGTGGTATATTCCAGAATTACCGAGGTGTCTCTGGAGCAGCCCAAATTACATCTTTGAGAAATGACCTCATTTATACTGTCCTTTCTGAATACTATATGCATTCTCCCAGTATTTTTTTCTAACAACTTTATTAAGCAATTTAATTACAGATCGTAAAATCACCGTTTAAACTCTACATTTCAATACGTCTCGGTCACCATACTCAGCATCACCAAAAAGCTTCTCATGCCTATTGGAAGTCAATGGCTGCACCCATTTCTACCCCAGACCACTGGGTCACCATTTGTTACTGATGTGTTCACGGATGGATGGGACATTAATCTCTTTGCAGTTCTCAGCTGTTCTGAAAAATGTCACTTAGATGTTTATGTGCAAGTCTTTGTGCAGACATGTTTCCATTTCTCTTGTGTGAGCTTGCTGGGCTATATTTTTCTGAAAGCAACTGTGGGTCCTTTATATTCCAACTGGCCCTGTGTGGGCTCCCAGATTTACCAGCACTGGGCCTTGTCGGACATTTTTATTTCAGTCTTTCTAGCGGCTCCTTAGTGATCCCCCAGTTTTTGCTCCTCTGTGAATCTCCAGGAGATGAAGATGCTGTGGGATGACAGAGGGGTTGATGCAAGAAAGGGAATTATAACAAAGCCATCACTGCCGTTACCCTAGGGGTCCTTTCCCATCTTGAACTTGTCCTCGGGACTGACAACATCTACTTAAGAGCACATTTTTGTTGAACCCTTATATTCTTTTCCCCAACACGCATGGACTGAATATGTGAGTGCCAAATCCTAGCAAGCAGTAGTGTATGGGCTAAGTCCAATCCTGGCATATGTTTCTGGAGCTTTAATTCTAGCTACCATTAGATAGATTTTTATCTCCTCCTCAGCAGATTCTTTTTATCAGAGCCTCTGACAAGAAAAGGAAATTACAGGATTGAGTTCACTGCCCCCTTTCACTGTTCTGTCTCTGGTGGAAGGCGTTCTATGCCACTAAGGTTACTGAAGAATGAGAAGATAAAACAGAAAAGACCATTCATAGGCCAAGAACTGAATAAACCACTCCTCGCTTACTGGGAATCGTCTCTTGAAGGTTCGGTTTCTTTTAAAAGCCATGCTTTGCAGATATGAGTATATTCTCACCTTTTGTATATTTCAATTCATCTTGTACAGGCAAACCTTGACTGATGAGCTCTGGTGACAAGCATTTTAATTTTCAAACTGAGAGAGTCGATCGTGCTCTACAATTGATCTCAGCAAGTTGGGAAATACCCGAAGTAGCTGTAAAACCTTGTGTGGTTAACAAACCCAAGCAAATCAGTGGTCTCTGCTTTCTGAGATGCATTAACAAAAGCGCAGAGCAATTCGCAGCTTCCACTTTCAAATGTCGTTAGCACATCAGCACATGTAAATGACAGCCTTAGGGGTGGAGCATGACACTGGTCCTGCTTTCTACTTAAACTAGTTTTTCTTACAGTAACCCTGATGGTTTGGCTTTGCATGGTGCAGCCCAGTTTTCCCTACGAAAAGCTAACTTGCCGCAAGGTGTACTTAAAAGTAACTCACGGGGAAATTAGAAACTGATTGGCTGGTTTGTTGTGGGTTCTTCTTCGTCTTCTAGAGCCCTGTTTATGGTAAAATAATAATCAGAAAATTAGTACCTTCATCAAGAGGTAATTCAGGGAGCTTTACAAATAAACCTGAGATCCCCATTGATTACAAAGAAGGCTTTGTACCTTCCGAACCCTTAAATGCTCTGAGGCAATTATTCCATTACGCTCTGTCTTTCTACGAGAAGATTAGTGCATTTCCCCATGATTAGTATTTCCTGTTTACTGAGCCGGTCTGTCTTCAGAAGCACATCCCTGTTGCTCACTCTTTGCTCTCTGCAGAGCCGTGTCGTCGGGACGCGTCGGGACGCCTTTCCTTCCTGCGGGTTACTGGGTTACTCGTAACCCTTGCCATCAGTCCTACAAACTGCTGTTGGGTAGCTGCTTAGTAGGTGTGGTCTTGAATGGTAATGAATGAGCAAAGCTCGAGTTTGGGTTTTGTAGATGGAAGAGTGGAAGTCAGGAGGAGTTAGAGTGGCACCAGGTGAGGAAGGCTGGCTTCTCTTCCTGTGAGGAGACTGGATGGAAATTAAGGTGCCAGACCCTAAGAGTAGAGAATTCTCAAGAGCAGGAAAAAAAAAAAAAAAAGAGAGACTAAGATAATGGATGCTTTCCTCTTTTCCTCTTTGTTTTTGGTCTTGTCTTGCCTGCTTTGCTAGTCCACCTTGGAAGGGATCAGAGTTGAGGCCTTAGGGTCCACCTAGGAGGTGTACTTGTGTGCTAGATGCTGTGAAAGACCCTAGGGCCCAAAGGTACTTTGTGTGATTTCCCCAAGTTTATAGTGTACTTGGTCAGGTAAGATGTGTGTGTGTATGGGGGGGGGGGGGAAGACAGAGAAATAGCTGTACATGTCAAGACTTGTATCTAGTGTCAACAACAGCCCACAAACACCAGGGAAGTTCAGAAACACAGTCTATATAATACCCATTGAGGGAAGTTTGAGTTGGGTCTTGATTGCACCTTTGCAAGATTGTCTAGGAGCAAGAAAAGCAGGCATGTTTTAGAACATGCAGAGGTGTGCATACAGGAAGCTAGAAACAATAAGAGAGAAATCTGGAGAAGTAAAAGGCCTAGTTCTTGATCTGAAATCTACCCAGAGAAATGCATAGCAACACAATGAAGCAACAAGGATAGTATTCAAATATTGCTCCTGGGGTTATTTAAGGAGAAGAGAGAAAGTTTTAAGTTTCCATTATACCTAAAGGGAAATCGTAGCAGAGCAGAGTGCCCCAGAGTCTCTAGAGCAGCTTCTTAGTATTCTTCACCCAACCCTCTGGAGTCCATTTAGGCTGGGAAGGCTGGGTAGATAGAAACATTTAGATGGATGGGTGGGTGGGTGGGTGGATGGATGGATGGATGGATGGGTGGATGGATGGATGGGTGGATGGATGGATGGGTGGAAGGATGGATGGATAATTGTGAGAAGAGAAATAGCTATACACACATTACACACACATATACTTCTCCACCTCCTATTTAGTGTCCTAAAACCCTGCATGATTTCTCCTCTTTGTGGCTCACAGCTTATGTAACATTGTAATTGCATGTGCGGGATACCCAGTGAGTGCTCACTGAATGAGGTGTCTGATCTCCAAGGTGTAAAAGGCCAGATAGCTGGGAAAACAATTCAGAATCAAACGTCACGACTTTCTGCTTCAGAAGTCCCTCAGCCCCTACTCTTCCAGCTGTGTGTTATTGAGGTCCATGTCTTGAGAGAGGAAATGTCAGGGTCAGCAAATGGATAGAATCTCTGGATTTGTGGGCTCCTCAAGCGCTTCTGTGGAAGTGTACCTTCTCTCTTCGGGGGGACATGTGCTTCCGCATTTAATCTCAGTTTTAGTTCTGTACATGAGAACAAACCATATGAACTTCCACCTCAGAGCCCACCCTTGGCCCTCACGCATAGCAGCGCCTCCTCGACACACCTGACACTTGGTTCAAAGAGGTCATTCAGGAAACAGAGGCTCCTGCAGACTTGAATGAGAGCTGTTCTCTCTTTAACTGGAAACTCTCTAGAGAATACAGAGGGCCGGTCACCCAGACAATATACAAGAAAGGTCCAAACGCAGGGGGACGCTCTTCTCCTCTCCACAGCTGTGAAAAACAGAAAGAAAAAAGAGCACAGTCCACAGCAGCGATGACCAGAAAGCCCACCGGCTCAGCGCTGCCGTGCGTCTGATCCCTAGAGGACTTACGCTGCATGCTCTTTATCGCATTTGTCCACTAAACCCAGACTCCAAAACACAACAACTGCAAGAGGTGACCCTGAGGAACGTGACGTGGGTGTGTGATTTCCCCGGGGAATGTGGTCCAGCCAGCAATGATGGGGTTGAGATTTCAGCAGACTGTGCAGACGGACTGTTGCTGCGTGTCGTCTCTCCGTGACTCATGTGTATTCTCGCGATTTTAATTAGTATATTCCATATCGTGTCCATTCAAAATGACAATGTAGATGGAATTGGTAGGATAAGAGTATATCTTAAAGCATGTGGAGTACGTGATATTTAGAAAATAAATACCAACAAGGGGATGGGTTAAGGAGTTATGAAACACTGCTATGAACCAGTGTACTGAGTTACTTTAAATGTCTGTTCAGACTTGTATATGGAGAAAAGTTCCTTGACTTTGATATGAAATGAAAATATCAAGGTGAAAGGCGACCTTACAACATCACCGCGATAAAACATGGCTTCTCTGAACTTCTCTCGCATCTGTCGACACAGGGTGCAGCCTGGCATGCATGCTAAATGTTAATAGCTTGGGGATAACTAAATATGCTTGCTTTTTGTGTTTTGTATTTCATAAAGTATCTAGAATGGGTAAGTAGCACTGTTATTATAATCAAAGCATTGTTTAATTTTTAAAGCGCAGACAAAGCGATGCATTACACCACATTAGATTTAACATGTTTAATTTAGATCTCATTCATTTTAAAAAGTCTGCACATACCAACTTTTAGCTCTACTCTGACATATATTGTGATGCGAGCCATTCAGTGCAAGGAGAATGTCATGATACTGTCTGTCTGGCAGAATTCTCACAGCTATCCCTGGACTTATAAATGACAGTCACATAATGTTACAGTGTTGACACCCAGCACGGATATTCTCCTACTGCCCAACCTTGGGACAGAGTTGCTGAGGCTGTCCTCTTTTAACTGACAATGTAGAAAACCCCAGGAGGCCCGTGGTGTTTAAACAGTATTCCTTGCAATGGACACAATGACCGATGTGATCATAACCGTCTTTCAAATATGCAGTAATATTGATCCCCTCTTCCTCTCGTTTCTGCCTTTGATCCCTTATCTATCTAGATCCCTTTCCTCTTGGTCCGTGTTCCTCTCTGCAGTCAGGACCACTTTCTCATGTACATGTAATTATTTTCTTCAGTAATGGTTTGACAGGTCATCTCTTTCTGCCCAGTCTTTTCGACCTTAGAAACTCCGTAAGTCATTTCCCTTTGGTATCCTCAAAATGATCTGTGACAAAAACCTAATATTTTGTTAGTTGAGCTGAATTGTCTCAATATCTTAAAATAACCAGATGCCCAATATGTTCCCCTTGCTTTGTCTTTTTACTTTCATTAGGTCCAAAATAATGTTCCTAGGATGCTGTGAAATTCTCCTCTAAAACATAGCTACTGCTGGAGGCTTTCAAAGGAAGATTGGCTTGCAGAGCCTAGGTGTCTGGGATTTCACTACTTCCGAGCTCCAATTACAAAGATGCAAGAAGCTGTTCTCACTCAAGCCAGACCAGACTGCCTTGGTCTTTTAAACCATCTTTCGTTGGAATATTCTGTAATTGCTCTGCCAGTTGGATGTCTCTCAATCAACCTGAGAATTTTGAAGCCAAAAGTTACATGCCTTCTATAATACTCTGATATTAACTAATTTGGGTTGCATCCCAGGGAATGCTGGAAAGTTCTTGCTCTTTGCTCTTTGCTATGAGACTTGTCAAAGAAATGAGTTGTTCTAATGCTTTCGGGTGGTTGGGACTTACTAAAAGAAGCCCCCGCTTCAGTACAGTCATGCCGTGATCAATGGCATGGCTGCGGCCAGAAAGTATGGAAGGAAGAGCAGGAAGAGAAGCTTGGCAAGCAGTCAGTAGTGACTGAGGCTGAGGAACCGTTCCAAACCTTGACACCTGTGGGCAGCATGGCCCACAGGTTCCTCAGTATTTCCGAGTCTCAAGTTTGGCATCATGCAAGTGAGAATATCTAGGTTACCTTAATGATTTGATGAGGCATGTGTGCACATATATAGTACACTTGGTCTACTTTCTAGACCTGTGCAGGCACCGAGGATGCTGCCACAATCTGTGATTTCGCGTGTGCATCCATCCTCCTGTGTTTAGAAGGGCCTTGTTTCCTTGGTATCATCCATAATCTGTGGCTCTTACAATCTTTCAGTCTCCTCTTCTGCAAGATTCCCTGAGTCCTGAGGGGAGGCATTTGATGGAAACATTCCTTTCAGGGCTGAGTGTCCCAAGGTTTCTCACTCTCTGCACATTGCCCAGCTCTTTATTGATTCCCATCTACTGCAGATGGAAGCTTCTCTGTTGCTGGTGGAGCAAAATACTGATCTTTAAGTACAGCAGAATGTCTTTAGGGGTCATTTATTGCTACATTCCTCTAGTGAACATCAGTATTTGGTTTTCCCCTAGGTCTCAGGCATATCTGATCTCAGGTTCTCGGTCACCTGAGCAGTATCAGGGATGGGTTTTGTCTCATAAAGTGGGCCCTAAATCAGATCAGATCTTGGTTGGTTACTCCCATAAACCTTATGCCATTATTACACTAGCGCATCTTGCAGGCACTATACCGTGATAGATTGAAGGTTTTGTGACTGGATTGGTGTTTATCTTTCTCTTTTGGGAGTGTGCAGTGTACCTTCCAGTACCATGAATACTAGTCAGTAGAGTTGAAGGCTCTTGGTACAACTCTTGTTACACCCTCCTTTCTTCCTCCCTTCCTCCCTCTTTCCTGCTCTCCGTGTGTGTGTGTGTGTGTGTGTGTGTGTGTGTGTGTGTGTGTGTGTGCGCGCGCGCGCGTGCATGTTTGAGAGAGAGAGAGGGAGAAAGAGATTTCTCTCTGTGTAGCCTTCTGACCTAGAGTCAAGAATTTACTACATAAAGTAGGCTGGCCTTGAACTCAGAGTGGTTCTCCCCCTTTGTCTATCAAGTACCAAGATTACTGGTGTGGAAACCACCACACCCAGCATCATGCCCTTCTTCTTTATCTTTTCAATGATCTTGGCCATCACGGGCAACAATGTCCCCTTATGTTACCGATGGAAAACTGCGGCCAGAGGAGTCAGGTCACTTGTCTTAAATTTGAGTATGAGAGAGGAAACCAAACACAAGAGTGAAACTACAGAGTTGTGGCTTAGTGTCGGTTTTTGTTTTGTTTTGTTTTTTAGAACATAAATTGAGTATCTTTATTAAAGATACCCGAAGATCATTTCTTAGCAGTAGTCAGGGGCCCAACGAAGCAACATGAGCATTGGGTTCAATCACTTGCTGGAAAAAGAAGAAGAGGGGGATTTTAGGAGGAACAGGAATAACATCTGATAGAAGCTCTTGGCAAAGTAATAGAGAATAAGAATAAAGGGGAATAAGAGGGGGCTGGAGAGATGAGTCATTAGTCAAGGCACAGGCTGCTCTTCCAAAGGTTGCAGGTTCAATTCCCAGCACCCATATACTTCACAACCATTTGTAACTCCTTCTTCTGGCATCCTTGGGTACCAGGTGTGCAAGTGGCACACAAATACACAAGCAGGTAAAAACAAAAACCCTACACACATAAAATAAAACAAAATGAAGTGTGGTTAGACTTGCAGACTGCCTTGGGAAAAGACAAGTGTTGTGTGTTTTCTGAGATGGAGGAATCTTTGGTCCTGGTGCTCAGAAAATGAAACAGTACAAGGATATAAGGACATTTCTCTGGCTGCGGTAGGTAATGCTGCCTGTGAGTTATGAGCACAGGATTCTACTTCATTAGCATATGCATAATCTGCACGGAGGATTCAGTTGGAACGCTCGTCCATGTAGTGAAATGCCGAGCTGCCTAATAGAAATGCAGAAAGACAGCACCAGGCCGCGTGAGTGGGCAGAAGGATCGCAGATGGGCTCCTGCGTGGACAACTGGAGGATGAGGAATTTAGGTAGACGTGATCCAAACCAATCTCCCAAGACTACGGGGATTTGAACTGTCCACTCCAGCAAAGTGAAGAGATTTGACGGCCAATACGCACCTTTGTCTCATGTAGATATTCATAATCACCCTGCATCTAAAAGATCTGCCTTCCATCGGGCCGACTGGAAAGGAACATCTATAAAGAGGCCATTAAAAAGCAGAGAACAGTACGCCACTCACACTGACAGCCGTGGATCACTTAATGCTGGAATATCCCAAGTCGTGTTTCCTCAGCATCCTTATGCCGTGGCAATAAAGTGGGGGAAGGCGCAGGTGAAATCACTGCTAGGAGAGAAGAACTGTTTATCAAACGTCAGGATTCCTCAGCCCAGGAAGTGAGAATTTATAAACCCACAGGGCCAGGGGACAGGTCACGCTGGTGCTCAACTTGATTAGCATTTACCGTGTGAAAGAACAGGACAGGGAGCTATTTAAAACCTAAATCAAGCCGGGTGATGGTGGCGCACGCCTTTAATCCCAGCACTCGGGAGGCAGAGGCAGGCGGATCTCTGTGAGTTCGAGACCAGCCTGGTCTACAGAGCTAGTGCCAGGACAGGCTCCAAAGCCACAGAGAAACCCTGTCTCGAAAAAAAAAAAAAAAACAACTAAATCAAGGCCCGGCAAGGCGGCTTGGGAAATAAAGGTGCTTGCAGCCAAGCCTTCCAGCCTGGGATCAATCCCCTGGAACCACATGGTGGAAGGAGAAGATTGGCTCTGCCGAGTTGTCCTGTGACCTCCACATGTGTACCATGGCACCCATATGCCCATATACACACACATGTGAAATAAATAAAGAAATAAATAAAAAATTTACAAACCTTAAACCTAAATCAGTTTAGGCCAAACAACCAATAGGTAGCAAGCACCCAAAATTCAAGGTAGCATAATATATATTTTATATGTGTGTATATATTATATATATGTTGTATATATAGCTGAAATTTGTTATGTATGTTATATAAATATAATACTAATATTATAAATATATAAAATTTTATATAAATATTGCATAAATTTCAGTTTCTCTTCTGTAAAACTTGATAAGAATGGAAAAAATTATTTATATAACTAAAAGCTAGGTATGTGTCAAGAGCTGTTTACATCCTGGGGCACACATAGACACAGAAGGGAGAAAATGTTTTTGTGATTGTAGTCATAATTTGAAGATATGCCCAAAATGTCATAGATTTGAAACTGAATGAATGAAATATACACTCTGGCAATGCTGCAGCATGCTTGGGCAGCCCGTGTATGGCGGCTCTGTTGAACTTGTCCACATTGGATTTCATGGTCTAAGTGGATGAGGACGACTGACCAGGTCTCTTCCTCAAGAGGGACCAGATCTCATTACAGATGGTTGTGAGCCATCATGTGGTTGCTGGGAATTGAACTCAGGACCTTTGGAAGAGCAGGCAGTGCTCTTAACCACTGAAGCTGTGGCATTTACCATTCAGACAAGCCTGATTCAGCTCAGGTGACAGAGGGTAATGACTGTCAAACATTACGGGACTGGACCGGGGCCGAGGCTCCCTTGGATATCTCTTCCACAGATGCCTCTGCAGTCCTGCCCTTGAAAGTGCTCTCCTTGGACACTCAATCTACCCCTAGCACCTATTCTAACCCTAGCTTGCCTACTTTAATCCTCATCCAAGCCCAATCTCTCCTGTTCATAGAGTTCCACCCCAACACCCCTCCCCTGCCTTGTTTCAAGGCTTGTCTGGTATGTTGCAGAAATAACAGTGATAAACAAGTCCCAAGGCTCTGTTCTTAGAGACCCCACGTGGGAGCAGCTGATGCCTAAACACAAGCATTCTGACACAGTCATTTCAAAGAATGGTTTAAAAAAAAAAAAAAAAACCAAAACCGTGGTACAGTGAGTTTATAGAATTGTGGTACAGCATTTTCAGTGAAGAGGTGAAAGCAGTTCTCTTCCTCAGGAGACATTTGAGTAATAGAGGGAAAGAAGTATAGCTACTCGAAAGGCTACAGGTGCTAAAGCAGAAGGGGGTGTGGTTGGAGGAGTTGGGGGGGGTAGAGGTCCCAGGTGAAGACAAGTGTGTGCGTGCACACACATGAGTGCATTTGTGCATGCGTGTGTGTGTGTGTGTGTGTGGCGTGTTCAGGCATACAGGCAGAGACACTCAGGCCCACATGACTGAGAGTCCAGTGTGAAGGGACACACTGCACCAGGTTCTTAGCCATGAGGCAAGGAGGAAGCTCGGTCTTTGTTCTAAAAGCTTTAGGAACCCAGCGAGTTTTTAGGATGTCTTCGCTAAGGGCCGGTTTGTGTGTCAGGGGTCTCAGAGCCAATGTGCACAGTGAGATCTGGGCCCTCTTTGCCTTCTCCACCCAGGCTCTCTGGCTGTTACTCCCTCCAACTCCTCTCTAGACCGAAGTGTGCCCCTGATTTCATACCGTGTCTCTCACAGGGTCAGGCTAATGTTGCATAAACCTCTTTGTACCATTTGCGTTGTAGGACACATACAAATTCTCTTCCCCCCACCTTAGATAAAAGAATTAACCCAAATGCATGTTGTTTCAGGTTTTAAAGATCAGTTTGATTGGCCACAGGAAACGCATTTTGGCATCTCTGGGAGACAGACTGCATGAGGAGCCTCCACAGAAGCCCCCTCGCTCCATCACGCTCAGGGTAAGTGCCGCCACGTCCACTTGGCTCTCCTCCCTTCTCCTCAAAAAGTGCACTGTGCAGTAAAATGGCGGAAGCCGTGGAGGAGGAAATGCAGGCCATTTTCCTCATGGCTTGCCTTATCAATCTCCCTTTTGATTGTGTCTGGTTTTCTCAATATAAATAATTCAGAGATTTAGAACTACATTATAAGGGAATAGTTTGTCTAGCCACCATCTTCTAAAGACCACCCCTTCATCCCCAGACTCCCGCTCCCAAGAGAAAGGAAATGAGTTTTCTGTCAGACTCAAACCCACAGAAAAGAAATCGATCAGGAGCTTCAGTTAAGTAAGAATCAATTTAAAATTAACCTCAGGGTCCTCCTGTTTTTCAAGAAATGAAAAATGACCATATTTTTACCCACTTCAAAAAATTTAAAAAGATAGACTCTAAAATTTTATTTAATAAACTAACAATTGTTTCCTTCAGCTATGTTTTTTAGAAACCTGGGGTAGAGAAACCTGTAAGAGGTCAGAGCAAAGAGGAAAAGTGAGAAGGAAAGACCCCAAAGAAATCAAGAGGTTGAGGCAGAGAACGTAGTCACAGCCCCACCCCCCTTCCCAGAAGCTCAAGTGGGCTCTTCCAAAGTCCTTTAGAAAGCCAAGGTCTCCTTTGACAAGCTCAGTCCTACACTCCCTTGCATCTCATTCCCACAGCGAAAGGTAGCCAGAAATGATGAACACAAACATGGGCCTCTGTGCATATGCTCCTGGGGGATAAATGGCTCTGATGGGTTACAGTCAGTGTGACAGGGCGCTGGGCAGGACAGAACCTTCCAGAATGGTGAGTCTGATTTAGATTACAAGAGGAAAGGGGGCCCATGAGGTGCAAGAATCCACAAGAGGAACTGAGTACCAGGGGCATCAGGATGAGCTAAGGTAGATGTAAGCTACTTCAGGGTTTGAGGAGTAAGGAAAGCGGAGGTAGGATGCGTATTTATCCTCCATAAGAGGCCTCCAATCCATCAGAACGATTAAACTCCAAAGGGCACATTATCTTGCCTCCCTCTTACTTCCTGGAAAGAGGGGAGGCGCCAAGCACCACGTGCGTGCGTAATCACACTGAGAGATCTCCTCAGGCGAGCCATTTCCAGTTTACACAGCTCTCTGGCCTTTCCCTTCTGAACCCCTCACCCTGACTCCCAAGAAGAAACTTATGAAATAACAAATTAAAGACTGGACGGGGCGGAGGGGGGCAGGGAGGGATTCTAGCCAAAGTGGGCCTAACTCTGCCAAAGGAAGTCAGGGGAAGAAGTGGCCTGCAGAATCTCATGGCTCCCATGTTCTTGTGGCTTGAAAAGACCAGAGCGGCAGCCGCTGCCGTCCTTCACCCCGCTCTGGCCGGTCTGCAGCTAGGGCTGTCTTTGCTGTCGGAAAAGCATCCTCTGTCATTTATACGCATCGCTCCGCAGTCTGTACGTCGCGTGACATGCTATGTTGCCATACTGTGTCCACTCCCCAGCCCTATTGTCACACCGCACGCACTTCGGTAGAGAGGGTCAAGACCCACCTAATCCCACGTTAGCGGCAGCCACCTCAGGGAGGATGCTCCGCCCACAGTCCCTCCCTCCCCTGGTAAACACGCGAGAGTGATGGGGTGCCCCGCAGAGATGAACCTCTGCTTTCCTAGAGAGATCGTCCGTAGTCCTGGTTAAAACAACAACAACATGTGATTCTTTCTATCAATGGGAGGCAGGAGTATTGACCTGATTAACACCATCTAGTAGAACATCCCAGCAGATGAATGAGAACTGCTCCCACCCCACCCCCACCCTCCAACCCCCACCCCCCACCCCCGTAGCTTGTTGTGTTCGTATTTTCACAGTTTTTGAAACCAAAGGCTGGCCCCCCGCGAGAGCATGGTATTTACTTCATGATGTATTTCCATTCAGGAAGCCAGTGGTAACCACACTCCTCCTCAGTTGTCTCCATCACTTAGCCAAAGCACTTACACTACTGGTGGCTCCCTAGACGTCCCTCACATTATCATGCAGGGCGATGCAAGGCGGAGAAGAAACGAAAACTACTTCGATGATATCCCCCGGTCAAAGCTGGAGAGGCAGATGGCTCAGGTAAGGTGTTCGTTCGAAGCCTCCGTGATGTGCTTGCCTTTCACCCACAGCAGGTCATGCGGCTAGATACTGAGCGGTTAGCTCCCCACGGACGCCCGCTCGCCCGCCGTGCCAAAGTCGACTTGTGCCATTTTATAGAGCATTCTGCGCTCTGTGCTCTCTGGAGCTAGCTGGAACCAGCCCCCTAGAGGAGGTGGATACATACGCGTGTTGTTGAAACCCCTTCTCAGCCAATTAGCGGGAGTCATTGCATTATCCCACGTTATCGCGATGAACAGTTAGAAATAACAACTCTGCTGGCACGAGTATTTGAAAAGAGAGATCTGTCAGTCAGCCCCTTCCCTCCTCGGGACAAATGTCTACTCAGCTGTGTTCCTGGATCTCTGTTCAGAACTTTGAGTCAGCCATAGCTAGAGGGCGACACATCCATGTCAGGTGGGCAGCTAGTTCTGCACCTCTGCCCCTCGTTGGGCGTTTGGGCGGCTCTGGGTAGAATCAGCTCTTCTCATTGTTGTTGCAAGTTGAGCTCGCGGCTCTGAGCCTTCCTCCACCTGCCACACATTAGCTGAGAACTCAAAGGTGAAAATTTGACTATAATTGTTTTGCCTTGGTCGTTAATTTTTTTTCTCAGCTGTTTAGTGAGATTGTTGTGTTTTTGAAAGTCTTTGGAAAACACTCTATATTTTAACTCAAGGAAGAAATATGTGGAGAGAAAGTTCTAAAAACTACGATTGTACTGCTTACATTGGCCTTGGCGAGAGATGGCCTGCAAGGTTGTCTCTCAATACTAAATTGTTCTCAAGGGTGGCAGTGATGGAGCTTACGGTTTTTGTAAGTAGAATGGATTATGGGAGAGGGGAGAAAAGGATAAATTTTCCTGTTCTCTGGGGTTGGGTAATTTATCTGTAAATCTGGTGTTTCAGATGAGGTTCTTTTAAAGAGGGAGGATGGAGGCTTCCTCCTACAAGGCTTTCTTCCATTTCCTGCTCTGAGTATTTGTGGGACACATGTGTGGTTCAATATATCTAATGGAAACACCTCAGAGACATGGTTTGCAGCCTTGAACCACGTGGTCTTTAGTCATTAAAATCCAGTCATTTCTGGACCCTCGTCTTCCTGAGTGAGGCAGGATGGGTCTTTAATGAGCTTTAACTGTTATTGACCGAGGCACCTGCAGGAACCAGAAATTAACTGTCTCAGCTCCCGATCATTGGTGAAATTTCTCCACCCAGGGCAGAGTCTTTTCAAAGAGGAATTAATTCCTCTTCCTCCTATTGTCAGAGCAGAGTAACCCAGCAAAATGGTGCCCTTCTTTTCTTCTCCAGAATCCCAAACAGGGCCAGGAATACTTCTGATAATCCACACTTTCCCCACCCCCTGTCTTCATACCCTGAAATGCATCCCTTTCAGGAGTTCTCATGCCTTGAGAAAACTGAGTGGACCTTTCTCCGGCCAGGGGAGGAAAACCCGAAAGCGGAAAGCAGGTTAGCAGGGTTGGTGGGCTGCGGCAGAGCCGCCGCAAGCCCATTTATTTACCTCGCGGGTTCGACTAACAGCGATCGAATGACTGGTGGAGACGGGCTCCATCGGCAGCCCGGAGCTTATTAGACGCCTTCTAGAATCCCACAGTTCAATATAGCACTTTAGCTGCAGAGGAAAAAAAAAAAAAAAAAAAAGATGGCTCTACCGGAATCTGATCAATAAGAAAAAAAAATTCTGGGATTGCAGCTCTCTAGGCTGTATTCATTTCAGTTTGGGAATTGGTTTGGAGAATGTGTTCGCAAGGACAAAAATCCACGGCGTAATGAATGCGTGCTGCTTAAAATAGTGCCGATGCAGAACTTTAACCAACCAAAATCTAAAGGACTTGGTGATTTCGTTATTCGTACAGTGCCGTTCACCTGCCTTTAATCACAGTCAGCCACTCAGTTGATGCTTCGTTTTGTTCTGTTTCTTAATCTTCCCCATTTGGAGTTGGGGGTCGTTCGCTGTACAAATTTTTTTTAAATCTGTTGGCTTTTATTCAGCTGTCTGAAACACTGGCCCCAGACTGTGTCTTCCCCCTGAACTTGTATGTTGAGCTTCTCAACTTGGGTTTCAAAGGGTTGGAAACAGCAGTTAAAAACCCTCTAAGGAAACACCTCTCCAACCAGCAGCATGGTTCCGGTGCCCCTCCCCCAACGGTTTCTCCCAAGAGGCTTACAACTAGGGGGGTTAATCCCCTCTGTATTTCCCATAAAATACAGAAGTCCACCTTTAAGATCTATTTCTTTTCTGCTAGAGAGAGAGAGAGAGAGAGAGAGAGAGAGAGAGAGAGAGAGAGAGTTGGTAGGAGATCCCCCACGACAGTGTCTCATGCTTAGAAACCCTCTACATCTTCCCGTTCCTCGGAGACCCTCCACAGAGATTTGGAATGCCAGCCCGAGGCCACAAACCTTCTGGTTCTAAGTGGCTGCAGTAGCTCAGGGAACTTTTGCCTTCTTGAAATCTGCCCAGAAGACCTACTTTGAAAAAAAGTCTAAGTTAAAAATTAAATTGAGGTCAGCATAATATCCATTCCACCCATCAAACTTGTTGGTTAGCAGGTATGGAAACTGCGATGCCAGAGTCGTATTTAATTCCCTGTTTCTAATCTAAACCACTATGGAATAGCTCTGCCTTGGACCAGCAAGATGGCTTAGTGGGTCAGGGCGCCCACCACCAAGTATGCCAACCTGAGCTTCATCCCTGGAACTTACATGTGGAAAGAGAAAAATCAACTTGCTCCCCTCCTCTGACTTCCACACGTGTACTGTAGCATGCTGCATCGCATACACACACACACACATGCACGCACATACACACACATGCATGAACACAAAGAGAGAGAGAGAGAGAGAGATGGATGGATAGGTAGGTAGGTAGGTAGGTAGGTAGGTAGGTAGGTAGGTAGATAGATAGATAGATAGATAGATAGATAGATAGATAGATAGATAGATAGATAGATAGATAGAGCCTGTCACTGGGAATTACTAAACGGGTCTCCATTTCCCTACACCCTCACACTTAGATAACTATACCTTCATGTGTGTGGTGCTTTTTGATTTCCAGAGGACCCTGGCATCTGTTTTATCTCTTTTTAGCATAAGTAAGGTGCCCTGCACACTGCTGGTGTGCATGTCGTACGTGGCGGGGCAACATCATGTTCTAATTTCTGTGAAGCTGAGACAGTAGATGTAAATGTGGAAGATAGACCAGCCAGAGGAAGGCGTCCCCACTGCCTAGGGCCTAATCGCAACACCTGGCAGTTTTCTTGAATGACACTTTGGAGAAGTCAGTGTAGACTTGAGATTGGTCAAGGAAGAGGCTGGATTTCCAGGGTTCAGGAGGCAATCTAAGACTCTGGCAGAAGAGGGCCAGGAGTCCCCACATGCTGTGGCCATTTGTAGAAGACTTCCCTTGGCAGGAATTCATAGGGGGAAATGAAATGCTGCATCTTTCCCCAAATATATGAACAGCAAGAGGAACACGTTCATCTGCACTAACATCAGCTCAGATATTACCAAGGAAAACCCACAGTGTGGAATTCCTTGTGTTTTGAATGCTCTCATTGTTATGAAAAGAAAACAAAGCCCCACAATATTGCCTGGAGCAGATACTAGGCACTCTAAAGACCTTTTCCAAATTGTTTCTAATTCATTAGAAAGTTAATTCAGTCGAAAGCCTAATATTTCTTGATCTGCGAAGAATTACTTAATATGTGTGACTAGATCAATTACTCCCTCGTTTGAAAGTACTTTGCATGCATTAGTTCCACAGATCTTCTTTCTTTTGATATTATTAAAGGGAAGGAAATAGAAGCATCCATGCGGGGGCCCTGCTACCTCCGTCCCTGCTGGTCTCTGCCAGTCCCTACTGGGTTTTCCTGTCCGTTTCTCTCATTTAACTGCCAAATACTCCGTCCGCACTGAGGTGGGTGAGGTCTTTACCTCACGGTAAATAAATGGCGGCTTCCTGTCATACTTTCTGTCAGACTTCTTCCCCAATAGCCCCTGATGTCCAGTGCTATAAAATAGTTTGATAACAGTTCAACAAATAACAATTTCCCACGTGTTATGATGGATTGTGTATATATAGGTACAGGTAGCAGAAGAAAAGGTCACCAATAGCTTCGTGGAAACATTATGAATCAGGTCATGGTGGCCACAGGAAGCCTGTTAGGTAAAAAGTTGTAAGGTTTATAGCAGATAAAGCCCCTTGAAGCAGGTGGTGGTAGTGCACACCTTTAGTCCCAGCACTTAAGAGGCAGAGGCAGGAGGGTCTCTGTGAGTTGGAGACCAACCTGGTCTACAGAGTGAGTTCCAGGACAGCCGGGGCTACGCAGAGAAACCCTGTCCTGAAAACAAACAGACAAAGCAGAGACCCTTTCCATCCAGCAGTGCTCTGTCTCTCCATGTCTGTGAAAAGATTTGTTTGTGGATGCAGAGTACATTCTGTCCACAGACATTCTTGCCCGGGCGTTGCTTCAGATACTGAAGCTGTCTTCTTCATAGCGTCTTAAGTTGGAGTTCTGAGTTGATTTTCTTCTGACTGTACAACCCGAACCAAGTCACTCTGTATTTCTGAACTTTAATTTACTTGGCTTTAAGATGCGAATAATGCTTCTCAGGTTTGGGTGTATCAAATGTGTGTGAAAGTATATTATAAACTATCAAGGTTGGATAGAAGTATATACAGTTGATAGACAGACAGATGGATGGGTAAATGGATGGCTGTTACTAGAAAGATGATAGATAGATAGATAGATAGATAGATAGATAGATAGATAGATAGATAGATAGATAGATGGATGGATGACAGGATGATAGATAAGATAGATGATTGATAGATAAGATATATGTTTGATAGGCAGATAGATGATAGATAAGATAGATGATAGGTGATGATTGATAAGTAGATAGATTGTAGATAAGATAGATGGTAGCTAGATAAGATAGATGATTGGAGAAAGAGAGAGAGAG